TTTGCTTTTTCCTTGCCTTCCAATTATTCCCTATTGATTTTTTGCTATCTTTTGCTCACCGTGGCAGGTTACATTAGCACAACCATTAATGATGGTCCTGGATGTTTGATGCTAAGATGCCCTGATCCATCTTGTCCAGCTGCTGTCGATCAAGACATGATCAATTTGTTAGCCCCTGATGAAGATAAGGAGAAATACTCTCGGTACCTCCTTAGGTCCTATATTGAAGACAACAAAAAGGTGTGCCCATGATATGGAACCTCGATATCTTGTTTCTGTATTTGTTATAATTCTCTGTTTGAAGTTTTCACTTACAGTGAGTTGGGTCATCCCTTCTTCCACCAAATATCAGGAGTCAAATTTGGTGAAAATTACAATACATTACTGTACAATTCATTCTGCCCCCCATTCCCCGTTCATGAGTTGCCTCTTATTCTGACCACCTCTATGGTGCTGTGCGGTCTGTGCAATCGTTTGGTGTATTTGGTTAGAGAGGGATCCTAGGATTTCCAAGGATCAGTTTATGTCTGCACAGTTGATGTGGGGCAGAATAGTGTTTCTTACTTCATTATAGTCATGCTTCAGGCTCTTTTAGAGGTGTTTCTGTAGCTGGCTTTCAGCAAGATTGGGATGCTTTATTATCATAGTTTTGTTACCCATTTCTTGGTTTGGAGGACAGCGTATTCTCCCAACTGTTTCTGCATGCTTCTTCTTTTCATTAATAAAATCTTCTGTGATCTAGGAAAAAAATTATTCTAACCCCCTATCCTTCTCTCTATCTTTTTGATTACTTTCAGACCAAGTGGTGTCCTGCTCCAGGATGCGAGTATGCGATTGATTTTGCTGCTGGTAGTGGAAGTTTTGATGTTTCCTGCCTATGCTCACATAGCTTTTGCTGGAATGTGAGCATACTCTTCATGTTGATAGTGTCACTGTATTAGATTCCGTAGAAATTAAGATTCTGTAGAAATTAACTGTCGTGTAGTGATTTGTAATTGCCTTTGGATAATTGCAGTGTGCAGAGGAAGCTCATCGTCCAGTGGACTGTGGAATGGTGACAAAGTGGATTTTGAAGAACAGCGCTGAGTCTGAAAACATGAATTGGTAGAAAATTTCTATATGCATCAAAAACTATATATTGTGATTATGCCATGATAGACACTTATTTGCTCCCTGTGTTGATAACGGCAATAAATGACAACACACACACACGTGCAGAGCTGTAAGAAGATGATGTATAAATAATGGCTACATTAATAACAGGTGCTGCTTTATGCTGATTTTATATTTGATCAACTCAGGATACTTGCTAATTCCAAACCTTGTCCAAAATGCAAGCGACCGATTGAAAAAAACCAAGGGTGCATGCATATAACATGCACCCCACCTTGCAAATTTGAATTTTGTTGGTAAGTTCTGAATTTTGTTGCATCTTTGAAAATTGATTATCCTCTGGATGAAGTTGTCTAACCTCAATGGGTAAATGCAGGCTGTGCCTTGGTGCATGGTCGGATCATGGTGAGAGGACAGGTGGTTTCTATGCTTGTAACAGATATGAGGCAGCCAAGCAAGAGGGAGCAGTAAGTGTGCTAATATCGTCAGTTATATTAGATCTACCTAATGTACTGTGGTAATTCTTTGAAATGGTGGTAAGATAGCTGTTTCTCTTATGTATCTGAAATTCATATTATTGCTTGTAGTATGATGAGTCAGAGAGGAGGCGAGAAATGGCAAAAAATTCTTTGGAGAGATACACCCATTATTATGAACGATGGGCAAGCAATCAGTTGGTATGCTAAAGTTTTGCTAACTTATTGCTATTTATGTCAAGTTACAGCTTATTTATTATGTATTTATTTTCCCATGTTAAAGTTTCTGCTCATTTCTATGATAGGTTTCTGGTGCTGTAACTGTTAATTTGCTTTCTTTATGGCTGATCGTGTTAATTTCCCTACTTTCTGTTGGTGCTTAAATGTTTATTTGGCTGCACTGCACTTCATTAATTTTTTTGTTTGAATGTTTCGGATTTCTTTAAAGTTAAATTTCTTAATTTTTTCGGTTTCCTTGCAAGTTTTGGATGTTCTTTGCCTGCACTGAGTTAATTGTTATGTGTTTATGTGGCAGTCAAGGCAAAAAGCTCTTGTAGATTTACATCAAATGCAGACTGTACATGTATGTATCTTGTTCATACCATTTCTTATACTTGTGCGCATTTTGTATTGTCAAATGTTCTGAATCTTTTAGCTACCCGCTGAAAGATACCAGAGTTCCTATAACTTCATGATTTCTTGAATTTTCCAGCTTGAGAAGCTTAGTGACATCCATTGCACGCCCGAGTCTCAGCTGAAGTTCATAACAGAAGCCTGGCTTCAGGTGAGGTGTCATTAGAGTTTTGCTTATGTTGTGGGAGGAGGTATTTTCTTTTTTGGGAGGTGGTGGGGTTATTGGAATAAAGGGTAATAAATAAACCTATATTATATTTTGTCTTTCTGTACTTGTAGATAGTTGAATGCAGGCGAGTTCTGAAATGGACCTATGCGTATGGGTTTTATCTACATGAGCATGAGCATGCCAAGAGACAGTTTTTTGAGTACTTGCAAGGTATGCATATGATAAATTATTTACTGAGTGACTGTATGAGACTGGTTGCGACTTGCTTGCCTAACAGCATACACCCCTTCCTATAAGAGAGCTGGGGTGGGGTGTGTGTTTTGTGGGTCCAACTTGAGTTTGTGATTATTCAAACCAAGCGAGGATAAAAAAATGAGAGAAAGTACTGCATTGGGTTTGTCTGTTGGTTCTTTATGGGCACCATTGTTAATAGAATAATCTTATCATTCTGTGCAGGTGAGGCTGAGTCTGGTTTGGAAAGGCTTCATCAATGTGCAGAGAAGGAATTACAACAGTTTCTTGCTGCCGATGGCCCATCAAAGGAATTTGATGAGTTCCGGACAAAGTTAGCTGGGCTGACCAGGTATTGCAGCAAATTATTTGTTAACATGTAATTTATATCTGTGGTGCAAAGGATATAGGTTTAGCCGTTTAGGGGTAAATTGTTTTGTCCCATGGGACATTCTCTATCCTTTCTGTGAGAAGATAAACTTTGCTGCATATGCCTTCGTTATGCTTAAGCTGTTCTGGCCGCAAAACATCAACTGCATGGCTAGAAGGCTCACGGAAGGGGATAATTGACAGTTGTTTAGACTTCACTTTTAGAATTTCCATGTGTACATGCGTAATTGATATATGGACTTTTTTGTCCAAAAATTCTATAACATCTAACTACTTTTTGTGCAATAAAATATGGATTTAATCCGTGAAATTGTTTCCAGTGCTGCAGGTTGCCATTGGCAACTTAATGTGCCTTTTTTATCCACGGATTTGGGGATGTGTAATTCGGAGAGTAATTCTTGTATGCATCTGAAATAGCTTGAGAAAGTAAAATGATTGTAAACTAAGTGCGTCCATGTATGATGAGTTCCATCGCCTAAGTAGGCAGCAGCACTTGTGCTTTATATTGCCTCCTGGCCGATAGCTTTGTTAAATGTCATTATGCACAGTAAAGATTTATCTCCTTTTTTAAAAAATTTTTTGTTGAATTATATGTTTGTTTAAGCATTGAGGTATAGCTGCAATTATACTACTAGCATTAAAGCCTCTCTTTATACACCTTGCATCAGTGTGACGAAAAATTATTTTGAGAACCTGGTCAGAGCATTAGAGAATGGCCTAGCAGATGTGGACTCTCATGGTGCTTGTAGCAAGACCACGAGCTCAAAAAATGCCAGTGTCAGCAAAGGGAAAGGTGGCAAGGGAAAGGGTGGTAAAACTGGTGGTTCCAGCAAAAATGGAGATGATTAATATTCCAGTTCCAGTTCCAGTTCCAAGCTGCTTCCACATGCTGGGTATGCTGCCACTGCCATTTAAACTTTCTAAACCCATGTCTGTGGACATTGGCACTCTTGGAATGAGTACCCTCCAAGCAAGTTAAAAGAATGGGAATTGCGGTGGATTCTTTCCATTTATGGTTTGATGGCTCATGCTTTCCAGAGGATTGGAAGAATTACAAAAAGCTTCTGATTGGAATCCTTGTGTTTTTTAGTCAAGCGCCATGTTTGGTGTCCTGTATATAGTTATCTATCTTTGTCTATTAGCATATAGACCCTGCAACTTGCTTTTGTTGCTGTTAATTATATATATATAAGAAATGTTCTTCATCTGTGAATGCAAATTAACTCATCTGTGAAAAGAAAAACTGAAGCTTCAGTGGTATTTTGCGTTGGTTTAACTTCCAAATTGATGTTGTTGAGCAATGTGGGTTCTCGCTAGCGCCCAGTTCTATTTCAGTTATTAGCAACCCTCTGATTCTGTGCAAATACGAACCGAATTCGTCAATGAATAAAATCCAAGAAACAAGTTCAGCTATAATTCTGTCTTATGGTGATCATGTCTATCCGGCAGCCATGAATTTCGAAAGCATGGCTACTTGTAGACAAGTGACAGGCAGTTCGGCTGTTTGTGAGGTATTTAGTGCGTGTTTGCCTGCTTTTGTGGATCTTAACTGGCTACAATTTCATGGGTCACTGTAAGATCAGAAACTGTTACATGGTGATCCGTTTGGAGATTGACAGGCTTTACAGATGCTTTTAGACGATCAAGGAAAACAAAAATCTGCCCTAAACATTTAAGCTAGCCGAATATTTCTTTAGGTATGCATCTTGTTTGGCACTTCCGTCGGTTTATTTCAGCCGTCGGTCTTGCCAGGAGCAACTTGCGTCTCAGGTTTTTGATCATTTGTAATCCATTTTCATCAATGATATCCATAAAATTTGGAAGGTAGAAAACCCTTATTTGACTTGTTTGCAATCGTATGAAGAAGAAAAAACCTACTGCTCAAGAAAAGAAGGGGAAGACAGCTAATGTATATACCAGCCAAACAATTATAGCATACTGATTAGTGATTGTGCAAGATTCACGCTCATTTCTCCTCAGATTTTCAGAAACTACAAGCATTTTCAGCTCATGTTTAGGGCACCTCACAAGAATTTGTTTCAATGGCATGATTCATATTCATTTTTTCACTCAAGTTTTTATTGTTACTCAGGAAACAATGTACATTTTCTGCTCATGTTTAATGTACATCATGAGAATCTATTTCAATTGCTTCGATTCATTTTTGAGTAGGTTAACGCTAAGTGCTTTCATCATTGCTCTTGAATATTGACGAGAACCCATTTTCCAATCCAAGCCACTTTTCATCATTGCCTTAAATTCATTGTAACTGATTCGACCATCCTGAAAAACAAAAGAAAAAAAAGGGACAAAACCATTGTTAATCTAATAAAGAAAAGATTGTTACACTATCTAGATCATACAGGACATTCAAAGAAATGTGAGGACTCGTGAAGTACCTTATCTAGATCAACATCAACTATGATATCTTTGATCGCTTGCTCGTTGTTTGGACCTAGATCATCATTTGACATGGCTTCTCTCAGTTCGTCAAACTCTATAAATCCATTTTGGTCCTTGTCGAAGAATCTAAATGCTTGAGTGAGATGCTTATCACTGCCAATTCTTTTCAGGTGAACAGACACCGCCACGAACTCGTCGCAGCTTAACAAGCCATTTCCGTCAGCATCCGCCTTCATAAGACAGGAATTGAACAAAAGGAAAGTTGTTTTCGAATGTCATAATCTTTAAAGAGCATCAATTGAAAGAGAAAACACAACCAGAAGCAGGGTGATAACTCACAGCATCCATTAATAGCTTCACATCAGGATCAGGAACGGAGTGTCCGAACTTGTTTAAGCCGTCTTTCAGTTCTTGAAATGATAAGTCTCCATTGTGGTCTGTGTCCATCATATGGAACATTTGTTTGATTTTATCTACTTGCTCGTCCGGTAAGCTGTCTGCTACCACCTGAAAGAAGGATCGGTACAAGGATCAACGAGGAGCTTGATATTAGAAGAGATGATCGCTCCCCTGAGGCATTTAATGAATAAGGCAAAAACTTACTCTCAGAGCTTTCTTCTTAAACCTGTTCATCAAGGAAAATTGCTTAATCTTTGTTCTCACATTTTCTCCAAGAGAGATATTAGGGACATCACTTGCATTTTGTATCCATGGGTTTTCTTCGTATGACATGAAAGAAGAAGACTAATTAGTTTGTATTTCAAGCAATTTACTTCCAATTTTTGATGATTTAAAGGCTACTAACCAAGAACTTCTTCAACTGTTAATCGGTTGTAAGGATTTTGATCAAGCATCTTCTTCACTATGTCTTTTCCTTCTTCTGAAACTTTAGGCCAAGGATCCCTTGCGAAATCTATTTCACCGCGGACAATGGCGTGCGCAATCCCTTCCTCAGTTTCTGTAAGTCACAACCGAAATTCAACACTAAAAATTCATTCTAAGAGAAGGAAAGTTGCAAACTTCTTACATGAACTCAAGGGACACGGTTTCAGTCATTTCGACAGAAATACGAGGGTTGCGTTTTGATGATGATGAAGTTTACCTGCCCAAAATGGAGGGACTCCACAAAGCAAGATATAAAGGATAACACCTGTGCTCCACACATCAACTTCTGGTCCATAGTTTCTTCTCAAAATCTCTGGAGCCATGTAATATGGACTTCCAACAATTTCTCTGAAACGCTGACCTGCGGCAAACAGATTTCGCAATTCAAAAGTCGGAAAAGGTACCATACTGTAATGTAATGGTGGCATTGACAGACAATGTGGAAGATGTACCTGGTTCAAAGAATATGGAGAGGCCAAAATCAATTGCTTTTAACTGGGAGCATTCACTTGCATCTGCAAATAAGAAATTTTCTGGCTTTAGGTCCCGGTGTATCACTCCATGATCATGGCATACCTGCAAGGAGTATCAACATAGAAATGATTATTATCTTTGGGGAATTACTCCAAATCTCGCAAGAACATAGCTGTTTATTCCAAAGAATCTTGAATTCAAAACGTTCGATTTCGATTTATATCTCAATATTTGAAGCACTTTAGAATCATGATCATGATAATTTTTAAATGATCTGCAACATCTAAAATTATAGATGGAATGTATGAAACATTAAGGCCTTCAACCAATTTAACTAGACAAGGAAGAAACATTAACCTTGAAATCATGAACCATGTTTATCATTTCCATAATACATAATTTCGAATCCATATAACAACTATACCTTGACAATCTCCAAAATGGTCTTGGTAACCATTGCTGCGGCACGCTCGGAGTAATGCCCCTTAGAAACAATCCTATCAAAAAGCTCACCTCCCTCACAAAGTTCCATAACAAGATGGACAGCATCTCTATCCTCATATGCCTCCCTGAAGCTCACAATATTAGGATGTTTAGGCAAATGCCTCATGATCTCCACCTCTCTTCTAACATCCTCCACATCAATTTCTGACTTCAGTTTGGATTTAGATATGGTCTTGCATGCATATTTTTCACCTGTTTTGATATCAAAACATTGATACGTGACCCCAAATTCACCCCTTCCTAATTCTTTTCCAAATGTGTATTTTTCATGAATGTTGTGACCTGTAGGCTCCTTGATCACTGATGTTATGTGAAGAGCTCTTGGCGTTTGTACCACCGAATCGTTCTGATCCGGTGAGGGTAGAGGTTTACGGACATTGTGTGATGATCTCTTGGAAATGATATGACCTAGATTTGCAGGTGTGGAAACACAGCTTCCCATGGAATCACCTTGTTAGGGTTTTTCTCTCCTTTCTTTTATGTTTGTTACGTTAACATCATCCTAGCTATCGGAGGAGGAGGAGAGAAAGAGTCTTGGATAGAGAAATGGAATCCCTAACAAAGGAGCAGGAATGGGGGGAGGAAAGGACTAAATATGGCAAAAGTTGAAGATAAAAATTAGTTATTTTGGCTAATCATTACTTGGCTTATTCCTCCATTTTCCTAGGGTTCTTTTAGTGCCTTCTACGTGCTATTTTCTTTGACTAATGGCTAATGTTCGATGTCTTATCTCCTTTACAGTTCACCTTGATGAAGGTCTAGTGGAATATGCTCCATAAGCAGAAATTAACTTCCTCCATTCATGGCCACGCAATGAAAAGATGATGAAACCAATGAGCGCATGCAAGAGAGTTCACAATCACCATGAAAAGTCTCTAATTCAAAGAAGTTCTCTCCTTGTAACACAAGCATTAGAATAGCCAAGTTCGACTACATGCTAGCATAGAAAATTACATAAAAATTGTATATATGATATGCAAATTGTTACATACATATCCATACTCTTGCCATCTGCTCAACTTATGCCTACAGAATTCTTATATGATCATAAAGAGAGACCAGTCCTGAGGGACAGACAGAGAGAGAGATTCAGAGATCTTCCATTCCATTCCCTTTTCTTGCCAGTTCTTTGGCTACTACATGGTAGAATCAATCACTAACTGATGCCATTTTTTTGTGAGTGGTGGTGGAAATTAAGAAACAGTCTTGAGGCAGCCAAGATGCTGCACAATTGGTCCATGAGGACTCCAAAACTACCAAGAAAAGATACAGACACAAAAAGAGAAAGATTGCAAAAGAGAGGCACACCTCCTCTGTAAGACTTTCCACCACCATTATCTTTGGAGTGATTTGGAAATGAGAGAGGACGGAGGGAGGGGGTGTACGTTTATAAGAGAAAGATGGAAAAGGAGGTTCAATGTACATGTTGCTGGTAGAGAATGTCAAGCAAAGGCAGACAATTAGGGAGGGGATGTGACATATCTGGCTAGTGGGGGGGTTTCAGATTCACGTAGTGTTAAAATATTTGAGTAATTTATCAAGAAATTCATTGAATGTCCATGTAAGTGGGTCACGAGGGATTCTGTTTGCTCTGTGATGAAACCATTTTATTCCATGTTCATGCATCAATCATATTCAATGATGTTTGCTTCTGTTAGGGTTGCATGGAGGTTTTTGTTTCATCTAGGATTCGAAAATCAAATGACCGCTCAGTTTAGCATCCCGATTACTAGGTGATTAATTGGGTGGATTCAAGTTAATTATTTTATTTAAAGTATTGTTGTTTCAGGTTTTTTTTAATAAAAAAAACAGAGTTTAATTGGTTTCATCATATAAACTAAATCGTAAATTAAAGTTTAATAAATTTAATATTTTAAATGATTTAAAATAAAATCCAGTTTAGATTAAAGTTTGAGTTGCCAAGTAATTGAATTAACCTGGTAAGCAAGTAAACTTAATAATTTATAATTATACGTCAAGGGTCTATTTATTCTGCATAAAATATATTATAGGAAAATATTTTACAATTAACCTTTAAATTTAGTTTATTTTTTAGAATTTTTTTTCATAATTTTTTGTAAAATATTTTATAATTATTAATCTACTTATAATATCATCTGATTGAAATATTTTAATCGTTAATACCATTACTGTCATTTTCTTTTTCACAATCGTTAATTTAATACCATTACTGTCATTTTCTTTTTCATTATCATCATAATTACTCCACCATCATTATCATCATCTTATCACCACTATCACTTACATTTTATCATTATTATTATTATTATCATTATTTTGAGCTCCTCCATTATCACAATTAAAAAATATTTTATATTATATTTTAGTAAAAATATATTTTAATTTTGGAAAATATTTTATAATAAATTTTTTTAACTAACAATTAAAAAATATTTTATATTATATTTTATTAAAAATATTTTATAATAAATTTTTTTAACTATAATTTTTTTATTTATTTTATAAAATATTTTACGCAAAATAAACTAATGGAAATCAAACAAATTTTGCAAGAAAAGATTAGAGGGAAGCATGGGCCGTAGTGGTATAATCCGGTTGGGTCTAAAAGTTCTGGGCTAGGCATGGTTTAATTCAATATGCAAGCTTATTGGGCCTAGATTTTACATGCATATATCCTCCAAATACATATCATTAAATCATTTAATGGGTGATTTCATAAATATTTTAATTAATATTTATTTCATTAAACCAGAATACCCATCGAATCATAAGAAAATTATATTTTCAGATTTTCTTGAATTCCTAATTTGATTATTAACTAAATCATAATAAAAAATAACCCATTAAATCACAAAAACAATCATTTAATTTTATTTTTCTTTCAAGAATTTAACATTAAATTTTGGCACGAGTATAAATCTTACAATTACTCAAGCAGATAATTAGGGGCATGGGATTGAAGAACAAAACCTAAAGGATTTCCAATCAGTCCTTATCTTGCAGATTTCCATGCATGCTTTTAATAGAAGTAAATTTTATAAATTATTTAATTATTATTTGAAATGTTCATTCTAAAAAATTAGTTTCAGAATTCCCTTCATAAAAAGACCTGTAAAACACTCCATCCCTCCCAGAGAAAGCTTATTTGACTCTATATTTTTTGTTGTCTCAAAATAAGTATACAGTCAAAATATTAATTCCTCTATTTTCCTTCAATGCTCCAAATAAAACCTATTTTATAAAAGACCTGTAATTAAAAATAGTATATATTTTTTTAAAATTATGAATAAATAACAACAATACCTCACTAAATTATTGGCATAAAATAATTATTGGCATAAAAATAAACCATAATTAATGACTAATTGGAGCATTGACTTCAATGTTATCAAACCCTGATTTGGTAGGTCAACTTGAAACTTTACTTGTATTTTATTTTAAAAAATTATATGAAAGCTGACATGGTTAAACTTGAGTGATTTGATAAATAATTTCATAACTACATCAAAATACAGTCTAACTTTGATTTTTTTAATATCAATTTAATTAATTTCTTGTTTTAGAAAAAATAAAACAACACCATTTTAGATTTTAACTCAAGTTAAAATAGATCCTCGGTTATAGGTTGATTTAAGTTAAACAGGGTGAATTTGCTCAATCTATGGCCCAGGGCTTGAATTACACAAGTTTAATAACTTTAATCAACTATGCTTGTTACAAACTAAGTGGTACTCCAAAATTAAAAAGAAAAGTTGATTAGAAATATCTAATATAATTTATATACCCAGCAATTAGAATATTTCCAATGAGATAAACTATATAGAATAGTCAAATTAATATAGTTTTTTGAATACATAGTTTAAATATAACTTTTTCTTTTTCTTTTTTAATTTATGTGCATATCAATGATAAAAAAAATCTTTTAGAAGAGTCAATTATATTTTAATATATTCAATATATAATTATTTTAATAACCTGATATGATCCAGTTGACTTAACAAATTTAAAAACAACTATGATGATTTTTAATTAATTTAATATTAAATTATGAAATTAAAAAAATAACCCGAGTCAACTCTTCAAGCCCATGATACAGGCTATGAAATTAAAATAATTTTATAAAAATAAAAAAATAAATAGATTTAAAAAAAATCTAATAAAAAAATGAATAATATTTTTATTAAAAAAAATGATAAGTTTTTTTAAAATTATGAATAAAGAACAACAATACCTCACTAAATTATTGACATAAAATAATTATTGGGATAAAAATAAGCCATAATTAATGACTAATTGAAGCATTAACTTCAATGTTATTCAATCTTGATTTGTAGGTCAACTTGAAACTTGACTTATATTTTATTTTTAAAAAATTATATGAAAGTTGACATGGTTAAACTTGAGTGATTTGATGAATCATCTCATAACTACATCAAAATACAGTTTAATTTTGATTTTTTTAATGTTAATTTAATTAATTTTTTATTTTAAAAAAATAAAACAACACCATCGTAAATTTTAACTTAAGTTAAAATAGATCTTTAGTTGTAGGTTGATTTAAATTAAACGAGGTCAATTTGCTCAACCTATGGCCTAGGGCTTGAATTGCACAAGTTTAATAACTTTAATCTAGTTGATACTTGTTACAAACTAAATTGTACTCCAAAATTAAAAAGAAAAGTTGCTTAGAAATATCTAATATAATTTATATACCCAACAATTAGAATATTTCCAATGAGATAAACTATATAGAATAGTCAAATTGGTAATATAGTTTTTTGAATACATAGTTTAAATATAACCTTTTCTTTTTTCTTTTTAATTTATGTGCACACCAATGGTAAAAAATCTTTTAGAAGAGTCAGTTATATTTTAATATATTCAATATATAATTATTTTAACAATTTGATATGATCCGGTCGACTTGACAGATTTAAAAATAATTATAATGATTTTCAATTAACCCAATATTAAATTATGAAATTAAAAAAATTAAAAAAATAATCCGAGTAAACTCTTCAAGCCCATGATACATGCTATGAAACTAGAATAATTTTATAAAAATAAAAAATAAAAAGATTTAAAAAAATCTAATAAAAATATCAATAATATTTTTATTAAAAAAAATGATAAGATAGCATTTTGTTGTGTTGTTTAGCACTTCAAGAAATGAAATAAACACTGAAAAACTAAAATAATAATAATATATTATTATTATTATTACTGGCTTTCCATTTGGCATCATGCTCTCAGCTTGCCACGACCTCATTAGTAATTAAATTAATTAAAGTAACCGCTAGAGTTCAGCTATAACACAGAAGGATACATCCCGTCAAATATTAATTATTTTGGTAACATATAATTACTTAATATTCCCTCCTCACTCTATATTACTTCCATTATTATACATATAAAATAAACAAACCAAAGACATTCTCTGCAGCTGCAAATTCCTAGCCCTAGCTAGGGTTTCTCATTTCTGTCTTTTGGCCTTCAAGAATTATTTTTACAATTTCCTATCTCAGTTCCAGACCACACTGCATCGATATGAGTGAAAAGGTATTGTTTGTTTTTTTTTTTAGTAAAAGATGTGCTACATGCCTTGAATATGTGTTAATAAAGCTTTTTTCGGCCTTCAAGAATTATTTTTACAATTTCCTATCTCAGTTCCAGACCACACTGCATCGATATGAGTCAAAAGGTATTGTTTTTTTTTTAGTAAAAGATGTGCTACATTCCTTGAATATGTGTTAATAAAGCTTTTTTCTTTTTTCTTTTATGAATTAAAACTTAATTTCTTTTTTTTCTTTAAATTCAAAACCCTTGTTTTGTTTAATTCAAGGATTCTTTTTATTGATATATTAAACCTCTTTTTTTTTTTCGAAAAAAAACAGTGATGATTGATTCATATATATATATATATATAAAAACCTCTTTTAAAAAAAAACAGTGATGTTATGAAGGAACCTCTTTTTAAAAAAAAACAGTGATGTTATGAAGGAGGAAATCTTCTCTTTGAAATAATCTAAACCTAATGCTGTTACTATGTTGTTGCGTAGCTCAGTCAGTCTTGACTTGTCATCTTTGAACATCAATCTTAGATTCTTGAACTCTTGAACTCTTGGCCTGGCAGATCAAACAACTTGGATGACTGTTCATTCATATGTTGTCTAATTAATGTCACTATCCATACCACATAATCCTCTTCTCATTCTCTTTTTTTAGTTTCATCTTGGCCCTTCTTTTGTTTATTTATTTTGGTTGTAATGTATGTTTTTGGTTAATATGTTTGGGAATTTCCTTGTCGCCGTCCTTGATGAGCTCTACTTTGGTTATTCAACTGCTTTGGAGTATTTCTTTGTTCTTTACGTGATGTAACAGTGATCATTGTTGCAGACTACGACATTGAAGGCTACTGCAAGAAGTAGCTCTTTTGATGGTGTGAAGAGGGTAAAGTCTTTGTTTTCAAAGATGAAGACTACTAGTTTTGATCAGAGTAGTGGACCTGAATCTCCTAGGACAAAATCAGGCCCTGGAATTGAAAGGAAATCGATTGTATCGAAAACCGGAAAGATGGGTCCTATCTGTAAGGCAAGAAAGAAGACTGCAGAAGTTATAGAGTTAGTGGAAGAGGAGGAGATTGATCTTGATGAGCAGTTTGGTAAGGAAAGATGCTCTGATGATCAGTGTATGTGGTTGACTTCAGATAGTTCATCTCCTGAATATTTTTTTAAAGAGTATAGATTGTCTTCTTCGTTACATGTTTCTGTTGATGAATGGATGATCTCATGGTTATCAACACTGGCAAACTCTTATGTCCATTTAGATAAAGCAAGTTCTATCTCTGACAAGTCTAGAGTACTGAATCCTGAGGAGGATGCATCTTTGGAGAGAACCGAGCAGGACTTTGAAATGAATTTGCAGGAGGATTTGAAGGAAGAAAAGCGACCTAGTTTGGTATCGAAATCATGTAGGAGGAAAATAGATTTCTCCGCTAGTAGTTCTGAGAGTTCCAGCTCAAATTTTGAGCACTGCTGTGGGAACTTAACAAGCTCTTACGACTCAGCTGCGCCTCGTAGCAGTACCACCTTTGATTCTCCTTCTTGTTCTTCTCGCACGTCGGATTTGGACGGGATGAATTTTTCAGTCTCTTTACTAAGTCTTGATGGTGATGATTCCAAGTGGACTTCGGATACGGAGTTGGAGTCGGATATTTTAAGGTCTAGTTTTCCTAGTCCATCCTGCTGGAGAAGTCGGAGTTCTGAGGCTTTCTCATCTAGTTCTAACGTTTCTACTCCTGGCAAATTCAAGGACGGACATTTGCACGGTGATTTATCCCTGGAGAATAGTTCTTCAGAAGCTGAAGTTTTGAAAGATTTCAATACAGACGGTCCTCTTTTCTGGCCATTTGATAAGAAACTGGATTGGAATGCTGAGGAAAATTGGAAATGTTTTGCGATGTCCCCTCGTAAGGACAAGCTATCAATTTCTCCTCAGAGGATCTCTTCCAAATCTGTTGAAATGAAATTCCATGGCAGTAGAGTGGACTCAAAATTGGTGAGTAGGAGAAGACTTGTCTTCAGCTCAGGTTCGGCAGCATCAAATATTCTGGAGAAGAAACAAAGAAGGGACAATAATAGCAGTACCAAGAAGATGAACTCCATGCCATCAAGGCTGAAGAAATCTGTCAAAGATGGAAGAATTCCTACCCCAAAAGTGGATTCTGGGAATGCAAATTTCTCGCAAGATGATTTTGCATCAAATAAGAAACTTCCAATTGAGATACTATTGGGCCTCGATGAGTTCGATGGACATGAGGGAGTTGATTCAGAATTCAATGAAGATGTTTTCTCACTAGATGACTCTCTCTAGGAATCAAAGCATATATGGTGTTATTCTGTTGAAACTGGGTACCGCGAGCTCACTTGACAGAACATGCGTTTCATAGTTTCGTTGGTCATGTCATGTCCTGTCACAAAAACACACAGCATGATCATTTATCCTTCGTTTTTTGCAAGGTAACATTGCATGCATAGAAATAGACAAATACTAACTGGATCCTCCCTTGGTTGCTTGAGGTATGAGGTCATAAGAATTCCCATGAAAGCTTGCATGTATTCATTGTTGGCCTTGAAACAGAGAAGATTCACAGTAGTCTTGTGGCTCTACATTTGTCAATGCTGGGGGTGATGTTTTCTGTGTCTAACCTCGCCCTATTGCCAGCCTTTAGCAGGAGAAGTTTGTTTTCTCGCATTTTTATCGACTAACCCGACATGAAATATGAGTGCATATATGCAAGTTACTTCTCTATTTCTGTAAGTTGCAATCCATTAGTGAAGACAAGGTTCTTGTTCATACAAACAGGAGTCGTCATGTGTTTTGATCCAGTTCAAAAGAAACAAGATGTATGATTGTGATATTCCCACTTTTTTAGTCTAAGGGTATTTGTTATATTTTATCTAGCTTGACAAGAGGAATTGAAAATTTTAAAATTTTGATTTAAAATAAATTTTTAATTAAATCGGATAAAATCAATAAAACTTAATTAACTGAACTAAGTTTTTAATAATTTGTATGACCCGGTGAAATCCAGACTAAACTTAATTGGGTTAAAACCAAGAATTTTTTGATAACTAATAAGAAATATTTTTTATAATCTTATTTTTATAAAAATTTGTTTATTGAATTTGAGCGTATGAAACCATAGTTAGGGAATGTTTTCGAGGAGCAAACTAAGAAACCTTAATGAAATAGCAGCTATATTATTTGTGATTTAATGAAATGTTATGGTTGTTATGTAATTTAATTAAATGAAAGGTTGTATATCAATGTGAAAAAAGCTTAATATTTTTTTAATATTTGAAGAATAATTGCAAATAATAAAGAAAATATTTGAGATATTAAACAGTGTTAGAAATTTTAGAGATTGGTAGAATAATAATTTTTAATTATTTTATTGGTGGGGAATTAACCTAAGTTCTCTTCTTGAAATGTTTTGAATAAGAAATTTATATTTTCTCTCATTATTTCCAACAAAACTATGATCTTTTCTCTCATTAAAATTCTCTCATTATTTCCAACAAAACTATGATTAATTTCCAGTCTAATTTTCCACAAATATCCTTATAATTATATATAAATACATGTATAATTCAAGTATTTTTGAAACATTTATGCACTGTATAAGTGCATTTATATCATATTTTCTATTTTTAACTCAAAAGGGTGTTTTGATATCATACATGTATATTTAATTTCCTCCAAGGACTCAAACAATAAATCATTAATTTAAAAATCTTCATGAACAAATTTGTTCAAGAATTGTTATTATATACTGAATAAAAATAGAAATATCATGCTATATATATATATATATATATATATATATTTCCATGACCCATGCTGTAGTTGTAATGTATGATTTACATGATTTTTCTTTTTTATCAAATGTTAATAGCTTCATCAAGGCCGTAGCAGACCTTCATGCTACATGCGTTAAGCCCAATGCTTTGGTCTTAATAGATTGGGCCCTGTTAAAAAAACAAGATGATCCAAAGTTAAATATAGTTAATGACATCTAATCAAAATTTAATTTAATATTTTCTTTTAAAAAACTATTATTATTTTAGTTTTTTTTTAAATTAAAATAATAATATTTTGATTAACTTGGATTAATTTATCTAACTCACAACATGATTTTAAATCAAACAAATTTGAACCTGTTTTTTTCATTGTGAATAGAATGAGTAAAAAATTTTATTTTTTAATTTGATTTTTAAATTTATTTTTCTACTGATTTAGTCATAATTAAAAATCAGTTAATATTTATTTTTTATAAAAGATAAGAGTGAAAAAAGAGAGAGTGAAATAAAAAAAGACACTAAATATGGATAATGTATTATAAGTTTTGTAAAAGATACACTTCGATGTTTGAACTTTAAAAATTATACAAATTTAACACCTTTATATTTTTTCAATTCACTTTTGATATGAAAATTTATTTTTGTTATTTTTTAGTTCTTGTTTGAGAGAGAAGAAATGAAGAGATCACTGAATTTCAACGGTAAAGAAAGAAAAGAATCACTAACATTGATTTAAGCCCTTAAAAATAATGATATTTGTATCAAACGGTTTCATTTAATAAATAAAGTTTATGTTAAATTTTTTTTACCTTTAAAAATCATAAAATAACAAATACAAACTCAGATTAATTTTAGTTTTTGCGTTTTTTAAGTTATAGATAGGTTTATCACAATTTTTATATTATTTTATAGGTATTTTAGATAAAAAAAAAATATGTTCAAAAACAAGTCTATAGGTCAAAAAAACTTAAGCCATGATTTTTCTAGGTAATATTTTGATTAACTTGGATTACTTTGTCTAACTCGCAACATGATTTTAAATCAAACAAATTTAAACCTGTTTTTTTATTGTGAATAGAATGAGTAAAATTTTTTATTTTTTTAATTTAATTTTTAAATTTATTTTTCTACTGATTTAGTTATAATTAAAAATCAATTAATCTTGATTTTTTATAGAAGATAAGAGTGAAAAAAGAGATAGTGAAATAAAAAAAGACACCAAATATGGATAATGTATTATAAGTTTTGTAAAAGATACACTTTCGATGTTTGAACTTTAAAAATTATACAAATTTAGCACCTTTATATTTTTTCAATTCACTTTTGATATAAAAATTTATTTTTGTTATTTTTTAGTTCTTGTTTGAGAGAGAAGAAATGAAGAGGTCACTGAATTTCAACGATAAAGAAAGAAAAGAATCACTAACATTGATTTAAGCCCTTAAAAATAATGATATTTGTATCAAATGGTTTCATTTAATAAATAAAATTTATGTTAATTTTTTTTTACCTTTAAAAATCATAAAATAACAAATACAAACTCAGATTAATTTTAGTTTTTGCGTTTTTTAAGTTATAGATAGGTTTATCACAATTTTTATATTATTTTATAGGTATTTTAGATAAAAAAAAAATATGTTCAAAAACAAGTCTATAGGTCAAAAAAACTTAAGCCATGATTTTTCTACAACTATAATAGTTGAAATCTGAAAAAATTAGATGACATGTTGTTCATCTCAACAAACAATGCATCCTTTGAATTTTTTTCAAAACAATTTAGATAAATGACATGTCATCCATTCTACTTATAAGAAAATAATAATTAAGGCCCAGTCACATAAAGCCTATACTCTTATAAAATAGGTCAAGTGGGCTTTCTTGGTTCAACTAGTTTTTATTTGTTTCTAATTAATAAATTTTTAATGATTTTTTCTCTAATTTATATTTAAATTATTACCGCTTTTCATTTTCATTTTATTTGAAAAGTTTCTTTTTAATAACAACTATTTTTTAAGTTATGTATTTAAATCTAAATATTTTTTTTATTCATCTATAATTTTTAATATATGTTCAAAAACAAGTCTATAAGTCAAAAAAACTTAAGCCATGATTTTTCTACAACTATAATAGTTGAAATCTGAAAAAATTAGATGACATGTTGTTCATCTCAACAAACAATGCATCCTTTGAATTTTTTTCAAAACAATTTAGATAAATGATATGTCATCCACTCTACTTGTAAGAAAATAATAATTAAGGCCAAGTCACATAAAGCCTATACTCTTATAAAATAGATCAAGTGGGCTTTCTTGGTTCAACTAGTCTTTATTTGTTTCTAATTAATAAATTTTTAATGATTTTTTTTTCTAATTTATATTTAAATTATTACCGCTTTTCATTTTTATTTTGTTTGAAAAGTTTCTTTTAAATAACAACTATTTTTTAAGTTATGTATTTAAATCTAAAGATTTTTTTTATTTATCTATAATTTTTTTTATCTTTTGTATAAATTATTTTTTTTAAAATAAAAAAAATTATTTTCAAAAAATATTTCTGCAATTATTATTTGTGGCCCACACTCAAATATATATTTTTTCCTTGTGCTGCTTTACCAAAAATTTGTTACGGTGCTAGGGTGGGTGTGTAGAAAAAGAAAAAAAACTCTAAAAATGATAGCAATGAAGAAAATATAGTTCGTCCAATGTTGATAAGAAATGAGAACATATTCAATGATAAGAACGAGGAATTTCTCAGCAATGGCTGGCTAAGTTACTTATGGATGTACCAATAACTGAATGACACATGTCCATTTTCATGTTAATAATGCGACCGAGTTTGAACGCTATCACTCTGCTTTTGTTTCTTCCTTGCTGTCTCCTCTGTCTTCCTCGAACAAATCTAGGTTTTGGCCAGCACAGACAGTTAATTTTCGAGGGTTGACCCTTTCTTATGATCATCTAATTACCATGATAATATATTTTTTTATTTTAAAAAAATTATATTTAATATTAACACGTCAAAAAAATCTAAAAAAAATATTTTTAAATTAAAAAATACAAATTTTGGACAAACATGCAACCAGCAACATGGCTTAGCAGGTTCATACAGATAGAGACAGGTCAAAGTCAAAGTCAATGGAAGCAGAGTTTATGGAGATCATGCCCATAAAGTTGTTTGAACGCTCTTGATTTACAAACTCAAGTCTAAATTGGAGTTTGATCAAATAGACTTACTACCAAAAGATAATTCAACTGGATGGTGAGCCACGTGGACGTTTTTCAGAGGTCCTGTAGTAGATAGAGTATAAGAAGTTTGATTCATGTTCTTGTAAATCAAAACTAACCTTTTAATTTATATATATATATAACACATTTACTCAAATCATTAACTATAACCTGGTTAAGAGAATCAGACATGTAAATTTATATTAATAAAAACAATTTATAAAAAAAATTAAAATAATATTATCTTAAAATTAAAAAATAAGTATCAAATTAGATTGATTATAATTAATTTTTTATATTTAATTTAAACCAAAATGGATCAACTAATTTCTAAATTTATTGCTAAGATTAACTAAATTTAATAATTATGGCTATTTTTTGTTTTCTAGTTATAATAATAAAGATATTTTGAAACATATTTTTCATGTCAAAATTAAGTTTACTCTATCTGAAAACCAAAGTTTTCTAAAAATTATTTTTTTATATGATTTTCCATCATATTTAAACCCTCTATAATAATGTATAAAATATTACTATTTTTTTGAAAATCATGATAAATAGATGATAAAAAAAATCAAATCATGCCTCCACTAATAATAATAATAATAATAATAATTCCACTTAGGTTGGAAAATGCATATTATTTATTCTCTTTTTATTTTATATTTTTTAAAATAAATATAAATATTTATTCTCTAATCACCTTAAATATAAACTTTACTCTTATAGCAGCTAAACACGTGCTTTTTGTACAACCACCACCACATGTGCCACACGTGTGGCCCAGGTCGACGGAGACTCCGTTCTACATGGTGGCATGATTAGACAACTACTTTTAACGAGGACTTCCCCTAAAACTCACAATTCCATCAATCTCCCTCATACATTTCTACTATTACCAAATTGCCACCAAAATTATAATTGAATCAAATATTTCTTTTTTGGGACTTTAACGTTAGAGGATTCCAAGTTCACGAGGTTATTTATATTTACATCCATGCATTTATAAGAAATATTTTTTTTTCTCCTATCTTTAAAATAGCTTATACTTTGTAGAATACTGTGGGATTATACTCTTCATGTTTTTTTATTTAAGTAAATTTTTTATTAATTTTTTAGTACTTTTTTAATTATTTAGATATATAGATGTCATAAATAAAAAAATATTATTTTAATATATTTTCAAGTAAATTTTTTTTGAAAAAACAATCTAAATACATTTCTAGATTTAAAATATTAATTAAAAAACCTGTGAATTTTTTTTTAGATATAAAGGACTGTCCATTTATGTTGTTCAGAATCAAAATCCATTTTTCACATATATAGTCATATCATTTAATTTTATTTCATTTTTTATATGCAATTGGAGTATTCAAGTGTGTTTATATTCAAATATCCTATAATTAAAAAAAATATGATTTAACTAATTCAACTATTCACCATGTATTAGGTGTTTCTTATAAAATTAATTTAAAGCTTGGATTATTTTATGGATGGATGGTTAGGTTATATTTTTTTATAGAAAAAAAAAAACCCTGAAAGCTTAAGGTATATTTTATTAAAAAATCATGAAACAATATTATTTTAATTAAAAAAATTAATTATAAAGTAGAACTTCATTTAGAGTAAGTTTTGGATCAAATAATATTAGAGATCGACATGCGGAAATGGATAAATTTTACCCCTATCTGAAAAGTAAAAATTAATTAAACAATAATTGATTGATGATAATAAAATTATTTTTATATTTTTTCAATATAAATGTAGTTTAGTATTGTAGTAATTTTTTATTTTTACCATATCACATTAAAATAATAATTTGTGTAATCAAATAATTTTTTTTTTACATGGAATCTCACATGTAATTACAATTTAAACTTTGATTTTGTATAGATTAAAATTAAACTTAAAATAGTATTAATGGAGATGTCACGTAGTTTTACTCGAGTACTTTATCGTAATTAACTAAAATGTTGCAGTTCCAGCTGAATCAGAAGCTTCCTGGTGTTCCCTATTGGGTTGCGGTAGGCTATGTCAAACCTACTCCTTTTGACTTTGATGTCTTGAAATTTCAGTGTTTTCTTGATCTTCAAGCTCTCACACCTTAAAATATAATAAGGGCTTCTTTTAAAACAAGTTTTTCCATAGAGAGCAGCTTAAAAAATCACTTCCATTTTTGCTCTTACAAGGTAAAGTTTTCGTCTTTACCTTGTTAGCTTTTTTGGGTCATTTTTAAATCTTGATTTTTGGGTTTCTTATTGGTTTTTTGGTGAATTTGATGATTTATGATCTGGTTTTGTTAAGGTCTTTTGTTGTTGGTGATGACAAAGTTTTGATCTTTTTGCAGATTGTGTTGTGTCTTAGAGGATTATTTCTTAAGGAATTATACAGGAAAGATGCGTACCCCATCTTTGCTTGCACAGTGTTTACCTGGTTTGGTACCTCAAGATAGAGGAAGCAATAGTGTGTCAACTGTTTTAGATGTGGTTCTTCCTACACCAGCTGTGGAAGTTCTCCCTTCAAAGGTATGTTTTGTTCGTCTCTTAATTGTTATGTATCATCTATGTTTGGCTTGAATCTTTGGTGAAAAATGAAGTTTATGACTGGAAATTTTGAAATTGCTGATGGAGGAGGGGGAGCGAAAGTTGACCTCAAAATTGAATCATACATTGTGTTTTATTGTGTAGATGTTTCATCCTTCCAAGTATGCTGGAGAGAATGTAGAATTCCAAGGCCTTAATGTGTTTAAGGTATGCAAAATCCTTGTTTGATGGTTATGTAAAAATTGGCTGTCTTTTATGTCTAAGGTCTTAAAAAATAAATGGGAATTTGGTTCTTTGAAGGAAAGTGCCTTGTGTAGTTATTGTCAGGAAATTTTCTGTGTCAGTTCCGGCAGTTATATTCGAATGTTTCAAAATCTACTTTTTCTATGTAATGTTTATTTGCTTGGTGGTCCGAGTTGCTTGCTTAGTGTTCCAAGTTACAGGCTTTGATTGAATTTTTTTTTTCAACCTCTTTCAGGGTAGAGTTAGTGTTGCTGATATTATTGGGTTTGTTGGTTCTGAGACGATATCCTCAAAAACTGATGGTCAGTACATACACTTCCAGCTTGCATTGAAAAGTGAAAATGCTTAGTTCAATTTATCTGCTGCTAGATATATGAATTGATCGATTATAATTTAAAGCCGGAAACCAATGTGGTTTTGCAGGGTATCTGAAATCTTGGGACAACTCTATTGATCTTGTTAATGTTCTCAAGCATGAAATTCGAGATGGACAACTGAGCTTTAGAGGCAAGAGGGTACTTGAGGTAATTAAATTCGAAAAATGCTTGCTACTTATAATTCATGCTTTGTGTTCATGATTTGAAATCTTCCTTTTTTTCATTTTATAGTCTAAAACAAAAACCTGCCACAAGAAACCTTGATAGTCCCCTTCCCTGAAAGTTTTGGTTGTGATGGCTTCCTTTCTGTTTTCTACTATGATGACTCTCCTTTTCATTTGAAGTAATTAACAAGATGATCTGACAGTTTATTTCTCCACTTGGTGATTGTTACAGCTTGGTTGTAGCTATGGTATTCCAGGGATTTTTTCTTGCCTGAAGGTAAATGCCATTTTCTTATTAAATGTACCCTTCAATAGAGATGATTTTTATGCTACTAAAACATTTGTAGATGTGAATGCATTAACATTGTTCCTTTTGGCCCATTAACTTTTATTGCCTTTTGATTTTTTGAATTTTGAATGTGCTATCCTTTTTCCCATAGTACATCTTGTGCAAATTTTGCAAGTATCCTTGAATATGAAGTACTATTACGTGTAAACCAACTAATTTCAAAGTTCATCCATGATGGTTTAAATCCATACGGCGATCCTGATTTAATATTACGTACATATCTATATTGGTTCAGATTTTGCCTTTTTTACTCAAAGACCATTCTGAAATATACATCACACACTACAAAAACTTGGAACCATTGACATGATTTTTCATTATGAGAAGGTCAGGATTATCTGATTTCAAATATCATTCATAACCTTGTTAGTAGTGAATTAAATGGAACATGCATAAATCTTCTCTTTCTCAAGATAGGTGTAAGAGCATGGGCTTTTGAGGATCTATCTGTATTCTACCTGTTGAAGCTAATTAAGAAATTTTACAGGGTGCTTCTACAGTGCACTTCCAAGATCTGAATGCAGAAACTATAAGGTGCACAACCATACCAAATGTTCTTGCTAACCTTGAGCAAGCTCGGGACTGGCAGAGCCGACAGCTGGAGAGTCCCCTGACTCCATCAAGACAAATATTGGCACCGTCAGTGCACTTCTATGCTGGGGAATGGGAGGAACTCCCCACAGTCTTATCTGTTGTGAGGAATGATACATTTGAAGTGACCACAGGGATGAGCCTAAGCTTTTCCGAGGAGGATTTCTTGGATGGATGTAGTAGCCTAGATGGTAGCATCATTGGTCAGGAAACTTCCTCAAGACGACGATCAAGGAAGCTTTCAGGAAGCCAAGCATGGGAGAGGGCTAGTGAGACAGATCATGGAGAAGGGGGATATGATGTTATTCTGATGACAGATATCCCATACTCCTTATCTTCTTTGAAGAAGCTGTATGCTCTCATTAAAAAGGTTAGTTTTTATTGGTTTCATGTTGCTTGATTCTTTGCTTTGTTTATGAAATCCAAATTTCATATTATTTTGTTCCATGACTAGGTTGACAGAATATATATGGTATATTTATGGTAAGTTGTTAACAAAAAAATAAGATAAACAGTGGAAAACATTTTTATTTGGTAATAAGCCTGCAGAACTTGAAACATGACTTCATCCACATTTAGGAAAATTTGTGGAAGGATCATGAACCTATGAAATGAAATGGAAGTAATTGAATGAAACTATGCCAGTCTGTTTTTTTTTACTAATTCCACAGACCTTGAAGTTAACAACTATATAAGCTTCCAGTGACTCTGAGGTTTGTGGGACTCGAACTAGTGACCACCCTGAGGTTTGTGGGACTCGAACTAGTGACCTCTAGGGAGCAAACTTAGAGCCTGACCAGTTGAGTTACACTCTTCAGGATTGACCTGCTAGTGACAAGTGACAACCTTGGCAATGAAACAACAAACAGATTAGCTATTAAGTTTACCATCTCATAATGCCAATATCCTGCACATGAATACAGGATTGGAAAATCAAGTTTTCTGTGTTGTTGAGCTTATGCTATACCTACAATATTATCTTATGTTCTGTCTTGTATGGAAATATAATCTCGCTGAATGAACTTGTGAATTTGATGCTCATTTGTATTGAACATGGGCAGCTAGACTTGTTAGTTCCATTCACAAACGCTGCTTAACAAATTTGATCAACCACGCAGATGGTACCTTTGTCGATATCTTTTTAAAGTGATTTTTTATGCACATTCAATGTGGAAAGATGTTCAAGTATAAAGTCCCATTTTGTAAAATTAGAACTCAAAAAATTGAGTTGCTAATGGTGTTGGTGTTTATTTTTATTATAGATCCGTTCTTAACTCTTGTTTTGCTTGACCAGTGTTTGAGGCCTCCATATGGAGTCTTATACTTGGCAACAAAGAGAAACTATGTTGGTTTCAATAATGGAGCACGGCAGCTAAGAAGTCTGGTAGACGAGGAAGGCATATTTGGAGCCCATTTAGTTAAGGAGATGACTGACAGAGATGTTTGGAAGTTCTTTTTCAAGTGAACAAAAGCTCAAAACTCAACAAAAAGTACCCGCTAACTCATCACAAATTAAGATTTTATTTGTTTTGATATTGAATTTGTATATCACAGATCACAGATATCATCATTTTTTTCTTTTTTTGATTCATAATAATGGAATCAGTATTTTAAATTTTTGCAAGTGTGCAGCCTCCTGCTTATTCCTTTTGTAATCCCCTTTCCTCTTGCTCCTTGTTTATCCTTTTTGCTTAGATTCTTCACGTCTAGCTTGTATAAAAAGAATATTCTAAGGATGTTATATAATTCCATTCGTTTTTGTATAATATTATTGGCTTTCAATCAGTTCCATATTATGGAAATGCAACCATAACTTTTGCTTTCAGTTTAAATTTATTGTCAGTGTTTCGTGTAATTCCATGTATCCAAAGGTGTTAGTTCCAAGAGATGTACTACAACGTGCAGTTCATCTATGAGTGGTTTCCAAGTCCAAACTATATCCGATGCTCTTTTATCTTTCTTTTTATTTTTATTTTTTTGAACTATGTTAGAAAGGAAAAACACCCCGAGGCCATGCTTGAATCTGCATTTTGTTCCATGGTTGGATTCACTCACTCTAGCACGACAATTTTAAGGGTCTATTTAAAAGTATAAGTATAGTTATGATTATAATTTAAAGTATATTTTATTTGAAAATAAATGTAATAATATTTTTTATTTTAAAAAATTTATTTTTAACATCAATACATAAAAACAATATGAAATTACTGAAAAATATTAATTTTAAACAAAAAAAAATTAAATTCTCCTGAAACAATGTTCGGCACCAATGGCAAAGACACCCTAAAGCTTTTCTTGCCAGATCCATGGCTATAACAAGTTTCTTATTTGACCGTTTCGAGCCTATATTTCTCGGTTGTTGATGGAATCTTCCTATCAAACCTTAACGTTTACTGTTTGAATCAGTCTTCTTGTACGGGAGTCAATGATAGACTTTCCAGAAACAAATTTGGGTTTTTCTTCCGACCAACGTGTCAAACTTCGTGTACAGTGGCGGCACGCCAGCACAATTTTTGGTTATTTGCCCTGAAGGATGGTGTGGTCGACAATGCCATGATGGGAGAAGATACGTGATAGTTGAAAGTCTTGAGATATTGTCCGACTGCCATAGACTCCCCAAGGATGGCATGTCTCAACGCCATAACCAACTTGGATGCCTCGTGCAATTTGTTTAATCATGGAAAATTATTCATGAGCACCATTTCTGGAGCTTTAAATCGCAGCTGATTCTGGACAAGTATCAATAATCCTTGATCCACATACAGCATTGAAAAGAAACTCTCTAACAGACTCACAATAGCTTGATGACTGGGAAGCCAAGGTAGTTCAAAATATAAGAAAGACATTTAGTAAGAAAGGATGCATAAAGCTGTCATCCGGCAATGTATATGGTCTGTAGAAGACCGTCTCAGAGAACAGTTAACGCTATTCAAGATGATGAATCTCAATCGGCAACAATGCAACACATTTACATTATAAAATTTCTTGCATTTATAGTGAGAGTTGCCAAGTCAAAGATTAGCAGTGGTTGTTCCATGCAGCATAATACAATGTGCCTTGCAAATAGGATCATACCATCGCCCAGTACCCCAAACCTTCACAAGGAGTTAGCAGGCACATCCATGGTCAAAGACACGATGCACAGACCAAAAGAAAAGAGGGGGGCAAAACAGATGTTGGTAAAAAAGTAATCCTCCATTTTGCAATATGCCTGTATCGTACAAAACATTTATTTCCACAGAATATACTTACCCTTGATGCTCCTGCTTGTAAGCTTTCACAGGAGAGTCACACATTGTCAAGGTAAAAGGGGGGGACCTTAACAAAAATCGCCTCCTATACATTACTGCCTGGTTTCTGATAATCTTCTCCACACCATTTTCCCACAATGCAACACTGTTAAGACTGTCATAAAATAGAGGAGAGGAATGCCAACCACACAACCCCCAGAAGCAAAATTCACCAGTGTCTAAGAAGGAAACAATAAAGAAGTCATTAAGAGTTGTTCAGTTTGCAGGAAAATGTGCAGGTCATTAATCAACGAGAAGAGTTTTTCAAGTTATGTGTCCAAAAACTTGACAATATATCCTCCAAATCAACAAATTTAGGAGCGAGATAGCTATTTGTACACAGATTAAATGTTTTATAAATTAATAAGCCCATGTCATCATACTTAGAGCCTCTCGACCTATGAAGTTAATCGAGATGTACAAAATTAGTAATATCAGGAGGAAAATCTATGGATCCAGTTTAAAGCCCATCACCTGGATGGCCACATCCATGTAATATTCCAGCATAGATGTTAAAGTACTGCTGTTTCAAGACCATGTCATGTATTTAAGTCATAAAGCACACAGGCAATGATTTTAGATATGTAAAAGAGAGGGCTTTTACCACCATTCCTGCAACAAGGTGAACTGCAGGGACAAAATATTGATCCACTTTATTCCCTTCGGCATACCCATTGAATGCAATGACCATTGAGAGAGTGTGAATGGTAACAAATGCAAGAGCAATAATTGCTGCAATTAGTAAGACAAAATTAATGTCAGCTACCAAGAATTCACAATGAACTTACAGAAAAGTCCATGTCCACAATCCCTTGAGGATCATGATCTACTAGGTTGCAAAAAATAAAGAATGAAGCACAAAGATTGCAATGAAAATATGAATTAATTAACTCCATTCCATCTAAAGAAAGTAAAAAAATGTACTAACCAGAAACAAGAAAAAAGGGTAACTGTGAACACTTGTCAACAAAGAATGTTGCGGGGCCAAATGCTGGTGTTAGCAGGCTAAGACAAAAGAACACAGCATGGGCTACACCATGACCTAAACCACCAGCTGCACAATTTCATTTAAAGTTATATCAGCTTGCATATCACATTAGCAAGAAAACATGCTAGGGGACCATCAGAAATAGCCAGCCGATGGTAAAAAAATAAAAAGAAGTTATGGGTGGCAGGTCTGCAATCTGCACCACACCTTTATTTCACATTTCATTGCAATATTGGAAGATTCCTATGCTTTTTTTCATTCCTTGTTGACCTAATCACATGGTTTCACAAGTCCATGTAGATTAAAATTCACTACTAAGTCAGGGTCTTCTAAAATACAATACAATCACAAGTTTAGCACTGATCATAATTACAAAACCAATTGTATTCTAGGAGATCAGTCAATAAAGCAAAAAGGTTGTGCTAGGACATTGCAGCATGAAATATCAGCTTTTAGTTGGTGCTTTCCAACAAAATCCCCTGGGAATCTGTCCCAGAGACGCAAACAGCAATGCTGTGACAGTAAACCAAGTTTTGGCTTTAAATAATAACAATAACATAGAATGACAATCACAGTGCCAATTTGAGGTTTTAAGTTATGGACTGTAGCAATTCTGGCAATACTAGTGGGATTCAATGATGTCTGCAAAGCATACCCAGAGCAATTAGCATCTTGTCAGTCAGAAATAGGCGTGGTTTCGCAAGTCTGTCAGCAAAAGCATCCAATATATCTTCTAATCGCCTGCATAAAGTCCATCGCAAACAATGTTACCAAAAACCAACTGAGACTTCATCGATTCTCAATCATCAGCTGCACAAAGGAAAAACTGCAAACTTCATAGACATCAGTATCTGAAGTGGATTTAAAAAATTACTATTCTTTATTACATATTATTTTGCACATTAATGAAAGGCGGAGAGAGAAAAAGATGCAGTTGTAGTTTTATCCAAATGAATGCAAGAATGCAAGTGCAAGGGAGTGGGAAATAACTGGGATAGATTCCACATGAAGGTAACCAACAGCTCAAAGATTTAGCAATTTAGAAATGATTTCCTAGCTTTGCAAACACAAACCTCAGAGTACGTGAATCATCTGCAATATATCTTAAGTAGGCAAAACATTCACAATAGATCTCTGATCAATTGTTTATTCTGTCTTGTTCTCACATTGATTTTTACGCTTTACATAAGAAACTCCACAAATTTTCTCCAGAAAGCTGCCAGCTTGTGAACTTCACTTGCAAAGTCAAGTAATTTCACAATCCGAACTTATCACATTTCATAGACACATCATCAACAACATTAAATGGAAAATGAACAATAATCCATCATAATTATGAAGCAGAAGGTTTTGGCAAAGAAATAACAAGCACGACTATCTCAAAACCAGAAGAAAGCACCGAACTTACTTGTAAAATTTCCAAAAAAGAATCCGAAGCCCTTCTTGAAAACTAACTGACGTGAGTATAAGAATTGCAAAAGGCCACCATGTAGTTGATTTCAGAGGAAGAAAAGCCCTCCATACTCCAGCTAGCACAATCAGACTCATAAGCCATAGCAGGGTACTACAAACATCAATAGCCAAAAATCCCATCACTAAAAATACATTACAATTCACAACCAAACAAGAAAAACAAGCAATTAGGCAACATTGTCACTTAAAAAGGACATTCTCCAAGATACAATGTAGATAACACAATAAACTACGCATTACCCATTTCTGTTAAAGGAAACATATTTTCACTTAGAATTCAAAATCTCGAAAAACCTACGAGAAAAACCACTCAAAATAAATATACATTAAAACCAATTTCAAGCAAAACCCGTTTCTTCAAAAGTTCAAAACTTTTACTTAAACCTCTAATTACCCAAAATGAATCCAAACATCCCATAATTTATATCAATCTAAAACACACAAACGATAGGGAATTTAAGCTAAAAAAGAGATGGATCAGTGTAATTTTGTTACCTGGAGAGAACAGTGAGGATTAAAAAGGGCTTCTTGGAGATAACGGAGATAAATAGTGAAAGAGAAGGTCCTAATGCTAACAAAGCATACCCGATCCCTGCTGCTACTGTCATTTTTACTTTTGGGTTTTTCTTTTTTCAGAGAAATCTCAGGTCCTTATGGCAATAGGGGAGATAAACGACTTGTCATCCTTTTCTTCTATGAGATCTTTGAGAAAATAGAAGGGTTTAAATTTTAAAATCACCATTTGCCCCTCTGCTGTCTCAATTTGATCTGGTCAGCCACCTACATAAAAGTGACTCTCTAATTAACCCGTTTCATTGATAAACCCGGCCCGACCTTACAGATTAACCTAAAAAATCTATAATTTAAAGCTTAATTCTAGTTAGATTTTAACTTTTAAGTTCAACTGATTTTAGCAATAACCTAGCCAAACCTAGCTGATTTGGCTAGATTGCCTTTACCATATTTAATTTAGAAGTTTAATCATGATCCGGTTTTAAGTTGAATTAATTTTTTA